ATTAGTTATTGATGTGGAAGAGCTCTGCCCGCTCTGGGTGGTGCCTGCCTGGGCAGGTGGTGCTGGGTTGTATTAGGAAGCAGGCTGAACAAGCCATTCGGAGAAAGCCAGTGAATAGCACCTCTCCATGGCCTCTGTTTCAGCTCCTCCCACCAGGTTCCTGCCTTGAATCCTCCCTCAGTGATGGACTTATAAGCAGTAAGGTGAAAATAAACCCTTTCCTCAAGTTATTATTTTTGGTCATAGTGTCCTAGAAACCCTAGCTAATACAGCACCGTCAACTGGTGACCAAGTATTGAAACACATGAGCCAATGGGCGGGGTGTCTCTAATTTTAACCATCACAATGTCATGCAATTTGTCTCTTGTGGCCTTATGATGGTGAATGCCCATTTACATTCAGTTTTAATGGAGGGGGAACCGCCTAGGAGATTAATAAAGCACTATTTATTTCTCAAAAGGTTTCCAGAAATAATTAGGTCATGAGTACTGGGTCCATGGGGAGTGTCCCTTGAAAGGTAAATATTGTTACTGGCTTCTGGTTTCTTTCTCTGGTTCATGGCTACTAGGAGGTGACTAGCTTTGCTCCTCCATGCCCTCCATCCCTGGTGGCATACTATCTCTTTCTCATCTCAAGCCCCCAAACAAATGTCAACAACATGAACGGAAGTCCCTGACATTATGACCCAGAGCAAGTCTTTAATGTCTTGTCCCTCTCAAGTGCTTTCATAGTGATGACATCTCTGACCTAATTCATAACATGATATCTTTATAAATCTCACTGAAATTCAGTTTTCTGACCAACTGAAGGTAGTGACTGTTTGTAGAGTATCTCTTCTGCATCCAGCATTGTTCCAGGTTTCCTCTCTCATTCCATACAGCCCCTTCTGAAGTGGTCCTCAGAAGAAGCCAGGATTAGATGTTCAACAGCTCACTTAAGGCCAACCAGCTGCACATTGACAACATCTGGGTCCTGCTGATCTAACTTCTGCACTTATCCTTCTTGATTTCAGATCCTGAGGCCCACAAGAGTTTCTTTATAAAGAGTGACCGCAGGCTGGGGAGATAGCTTAGTGGGTAACAACAGTGCTTGCCTCACCAGCCTGATGATTTGAGATTGGATCCCAGGCAGACATTGGAGGATCTTCAGAAGTTTGAGGCTTGTTAGCCTGGCTTATGTCACTCCACAAAAACCCTGTCTCAAAGTGGAAAGATTATCCTCTGACCTTGTCCATGCAACATAGTGCGCACACACACACACACACACACACACACACACACACAGAGAGAGAGAGAGAGAGAGAGAGAGAGAGAGAGAATATAAAAAAAGTTTAAGAGCCAGGTAGTAGTGGCACCAGCCTTTAATCCTAGCACTGGGAAGGCAGAGGCAGGGGGAATCTTTGTGAGTTACAAGACAGCCAGGGCTACACAGAGAAAACCTGTCTCAAAAAAGAAAAAACAAACAAGCAACAAATAAAATAAAAGCTGGTGGCAGAGGAAATGAGCTAGGCTGCTGGCACTGGGTGTTTGCTGTGCCTCACACCACTGTATTCCAGGCCTGCATTCAGCAGGGAAGGCTCCCAGCTCTCAGGAAGAGGTTAAGGAAGAGTAGAGACAGAAGTGAGGTCAATTACTCAGCATCTCATGTAGGGTCTATAGAAGAGTATGGAACTTCCTTGCCTATTGAGGACCTAACAGTGAACCCTGACTTGGGTTCATCTTCAGAGAGAACTCATGGAATGTGTCACAGGGCCCTGGGTCACTCCCTTGAGAGACCAAGAGTTTAGAGACCCACCTTCCCACTAAATGACTTTGGGCCACTAAGAGATTCAGTGTACTTTAGCTGCCTAACTAGTAAAAAGAAGGCATGACCAGGGATCTCTAGTGCTCCAGGGATTACAGTACTATGAAGGAGACCCTGTGCTCTACAGCACTGGTCTACGTGGACATGTAGTCAAAGCCTCCTGCAGTCTCTAAGTTGATGCCTTGCTTGGATTTCTCCTAGAGGGTAGCCTTTGCTTCTGTGTTATCAAGTTCATGACTGTGGGGCTTTTTCCACAGAAAAGTCCCTGCATGCACCTTCCATGCCCAGTTTGAAGCTGATGCAGTTCAGCTTGAGTTCACCTTGCTCTTACCCCATCACAATGGTGATGGGGGTGATGACCCAGAAAACCATAACAGTTTGGAACTGTTATGTTCCAGATAATTTACATTTACATTCCATGTCCCCAGTCGCAGTGCAAACTGAAACAGGCCAAATATTTGCACTCAACCTCATACTTTTTATTAGTTAGTGTTTGTTGCTATGATAAAAACACCATGACTGAGGTAACTTATGGAAGGAAGGGTCTATGTGGATTGGTTCAAGTGGGGTAGAGTCCATGATGGCAGAGCAGAGGCAGCAGTCAGGGGCCATGTGGCTGGAGCAGAAGCTTAGAGTTCACATTTTGCAATGCAAAAAACAAGGCAGAGGCAAACTGGCAATGGCATTCTCAAAGCCCACCACCAAGGACATACTTCCTCTAGCAAGGCTACACCCACCAAGCCTCTCCAAATAGGAACCAAGTATTCAATTGCCAGAGACTAAGGGGAGACATTTGTCTTAAACCACCACATGCCTTGTCCTATGGGGTTGGAGCAGTGTCTGGTCTTAAGAGGCATTTGACCCACTGGTTAAAATAGACAAACGCTTCTGCCTCTTACTGGGCTTCTGTCCACACTGTGTCTCTATGTCTCTCTGATCCCAGAAATTAGTGCACCTTCCTCCAGGTTTGAAAGAGTTCCATAGAGCCCTTCCACCATGATGCGTAGTTCTGGAATGCAAATCCAAGGGCATGGAGAGCCTTTTGTTTTCCTCATAAGGCAGTTAGCTGAGAATGATTGAAACCCATCTTCAACTCAGCCAAGTGTCTGGCTGCCTCAAAGCATTAGAGGACAAAGGATTCTTTCACAAACAGTAATAGGCCTAAGTGCTGTGCTTGCCAGTGTTCATCACTGTGATAAAAGACCTGAGTGAATCAACTTAATGGAGGAAAGAGTTGTGCCTCACATATCTCTTGGTGGTAGAGAAGAAGGGGATGAGGGAGAAGAAGGCAGGGAAGGGGAAAGAGAAGAGAGATGGAGCACAATGGAACACAAGAATGTGAGAGATGGTTTTTCCTAGGTATAGTTTTAGCCCTGAAAGATGACAATTTCTGGAGCTCAGCATTATAAACTCAGCTGCTGTAAAGAATAAGGGTGCTGGAAAGACAGTTTAACAAGTAGGGGCACTGGCTGCTCTCACAGATGATGCTGGTTCAGCTCCCAGCCCCTGGAACCATCTATAACTCCAGTTCCAGGGAATTCAATGCCCTCTTCTGACCTCTGAGAGCTCCTACACACATATGGTGCACAAGAGCTCAGCACATACATATACACAAAATAATAAAACAAAAGCTCAAAAAGTGTACCATATGTGTTTTTAACCATAGTTATAACACATAAAAACAGAGCTAGAGGTAAAAGCCTCACCTCTGAATTCAAGTGAGAGGAGATGAAGGCGAGATTCTTTTCAGATGAAATTGAGGTGATGATAGAGTTGTACATTTGTCATTTTAACTCATTGTTGAGCAGAGGAGGCTGGCTTTGGTGTACAAAGTAATGAGTGTGTGTTCATAATGTATAGGTATTGTACGCAGCTCAGCACTGGGACAATACTTGAGTCCTCAGGACGAAGCCTAAGTGAAGGTCCTGCCCTCTGTTCCCTCTGATTTGGGAGGATTTCAGCAGGCTGTGTCCTCTTTCTCCTTGGATTGGACAAACGGAAGGTCTATGAACACCATTTGTAACAAGAGCAACTTAGGGAAGGGTTTGCTGTAGCTCATCCTGTCACAGTGGGGAAGTCCTGGTGGCATGAAAGAGAGGTTAGCTGCATTTGTCGTCAGGAATAAGAAGAGAGAGAAGAATGCTGGTGCTCAGCACACTCTCTCTGTTTTATCCTCTTCAAGACCCTAGACCATGGAATGATGCCACCCATACCCAGGGTCTGCCCTTCTATTTTGATTAACCAATCTAGAAAATTCCTCAAACAAAAACAGATATTTGCCTCTAAGGTGAATCTAGATCTTGCCAAGTTGACATTCAATATGAACCATCATGTCCTGGCCAATGCTTCTCCTTTTTCTTCCAGAACATTGTAGAGGATGTCCCCATATGCTAGGGCACCTTATGTTGTGTGAATCAAGTCTTTGGGCTCCTTGGAAGAGGAAGGATAGAGGTGAAATTGAATTCCTACAGCAGCTGGACTGGAGTGATCATCTGCTGTTAGTGACCACTGTGACTATGTAGTGAGTTCAAAGTTCTGTGAAAATCTGATGGGTGTTTGGAATGAACACGCACTCTAGCTAGTGAGAGGGAACTGTGCCTACTCAGGTGAATGGGTGGGAAACCTTCTAGGAAGCCTGCGTTCATTTACCTGACAGCATTTCTGGATCCCATGTCCTTGTATATACACGTCCCAGGGACCCTGGAGTGCCCTCTTAGCTCATTTTCCCAAAGTAATCATCCCATCAGCCAAGGAGAAGGTAAGGGGTAGGCAGCATGCTGGGCTACATCAACAGCAAGTGGGAAATGTGACTACTTAGGACACATGTAGAGCTCTGAAATTTGGAGTAATAGCTTTACTCCAGGACTCTGTGTTCGCAGGGCTTCAGCCAATTTATACTTTGCTGCCATTTCCTGTTGTGAAATACTAAATAAAGGCCAGGGATGGTATTGTTAAGGGGAGCCTGGTCTATTATTAGCTGCAGACTCTGCTGTGCTCTCTCTGAATACATTGGTTCTGGCCCCTGGTCATCTGTAGGCTCAGGTGAGCAAGACATTGAGCCTCCTGCTTCTCAGGTGACCCTGGAGCTCAGGGTGCTACCAGCTTTGCAGCCACACCCACACCTGCCAGCTTGCTAGCTGCCCCTTGAACCTTCCTGGCCCATGGATCCTCCCATTTGCTGGGAACTGGCACACCCTGTCTGCCTGCCCTACAGGCAGTCCCATTCTACAGGCAGCCCAGTCAGGTAGGCCAGCCTCCACAGGTCCCTGGGAATTGCAGACAAGAGCAGGGTAGGAGGAGAGCAGTTCCTGGAAGATGCGTCCAGTTGCTACAGGTGAGTGCCATGCAGCCAGACTTGCTTTGCCTGGGTGGAGGGGGCAGCACCCTTTCCCCTCCCTAACTGCCAGGCTGAGGCAGAAGGGTGAAGGCTCTGGTTAGGGTCACCTCTGGTGGGAACAAAAATCTGGGGTGTAAGGAGTAGGAGCTGAGATTTCTGAGAGGGCTGTTCCTTCCTCCATCTCTTATTACCCAACAGGGGTGGGTTGTGTGTACCCTCCTACCTACAGAGTAGACTTCAGGTGAGGCCAGGGAGGGATGACCAAGATGCCTTTGTCCCTGGGGACCGTCAGACTTCCTAAGTGGAAGGTCTAGAGCCAGCACAGCTGGGAAGAGTTGGCTGCTGGCTGGGGTTAGGAGAGGCCACCAAGATTCAAGTTGACCAGCTTTGGACTCTATGGAAAGTGACAAGGACAGTGAGATAGCCCCTTTTTGGGTTTACTTGGGGGGAGTGAGAAATGGGAGCCCCTGATTACAGATGATCCTGACAGCACCAAGCACCCTCTCACAAGCTTGTTTATATTTTTCTTAGAGTACTTGATACTATTAAGAGACTTGGGAAGACTGTAAAGGAAGACTGCCAGGCTGAGGCAGAAGGGTGAAGGCTCTGGTTAGGGTCACCTCTGGTGGGAACAAAAATCTGGGGTGAAAGCTCAGGGTTTTCCTCAGCACTTGAGTCTCTCCGCTGCCTTCTGTGGACAGAGTTCTGTCATTCCTCATCTCATCCACACTGTGAAGAAGCCTGCTCCCCTGAGGGCAAGTGCCAAGGCAGCCACAAGAGGCAGGTGCTGTGCAGACATAGCAGGCTGAGAAAGGGGACGTGCCCTTGACTTTCCTCTCAGGCCCCTTTCCTGCCTCTGCACCAGCCCCAGCACTGATTAGGTGTGCTGTAGAGTGAGTGGGTGGAGGTGCGTGTGCTCATGTGCATTAAAGGAACAAGGTCACACTCTTCGGGACAGAGTTCTGTGATTTCTTAGAGCAGGTCCTTCCCTGTCCCTGACAAATGAACGTAAAGCGAGCACATCTCTCATGCAGGGCTTTTATTCTAGTTTGTTTGGAAGAACGGTTTCATTATCTCCATACAGTATGATTAGAATAACGTTTTTTCTGACTACATATAGAAGAAGCTGGAAGTTACCAGTTGCTTTCTCTCACAGGCAGCCATTTTCCACACAGCCCTCGTGACTCACACAAGAGCTATGTGGTCCTTTCATCCAAAGCGTTCAGAGAATTTCATGGTTGTACTTCCCCAGCAGGTGTGATTGTAAGAGGGGGGCTGTGTTACTTCCCTTGACCTAAGGATTTCGCAATGTTTTTGGAGTAGACTTTGTCATTGGCTCATCTGTCTAGCCTCAGATTTGTTCTCACTGGGCCTGAAAAGCTATCAGGATAATGTCCCCATAGGGCCTGCTGGTGGGTGTCTTTTTCCTCACCTGGGGTGTTGACAAGGTGGGTAATGGTGGCACTTCCTGACTAAAAAGCCTCAATGGACAGGACAGGGGAGGCAGCAGGCAGCAAAACCAGCTGAGCCCCAAAAGATCAGTCTTCAGCCTCAGCCTTCCTGGCTTGCCAGGCCTAAAAGGCATGGGTGTGCCCAGGGACTTGGATGAACGTTGGCAAGCACTAGGGACAACAGCTTCCTTGTCCTCAATCAGATTGGAGGAAATCCATTAGTAAGACCAATGATCTCCCTCCAAGTGGGTCTGTCATATTACCTCTTCTTGAAAAAACAGCCAGTTGGGTCAGGGTCCTTCCAGATGACATCATTTTAACTTACCTGTCTCTTTAAAGATTCTGTCTTCAAATCCTGTTTCATTGTGAGGTCCTGACAGACAGAATGTCAGCACAGAGATTTGGCTGCTGTTCAGCCTCACTGTGCTTGGGGCATCCAAAGCAGTTCTGTTTAGGGGGTTATGATGATTGGCAGCCCCTGGGTATGAGAGAGAGGTGAGCCCTAAGATCCTATCTATAGCATTGATGGTTTTAGGATTACCTTTTTTGCTGACTCTTTAGTTAAATGGCCAGGATTTAGAGGCAGTAGACATCTGACAGTGAGGATGAAGCTAGAACACACATGTGCGCACACATATGCACAGGCATAAATGCCGGTGCACACATTTGCATAGAATACACATTTCCAAGGACAAAGTACTTTGATACCAACTTACAGCCTCCTGGCGCCAAGTGCTGGCCTTTACCCCCAGGCTTCTCTGGGTAGCAATGGGCCCAAAGTGCTCACCCAAGTTGATGGCTTTATCACCATATGGGGAAAAGACTGGGCCCTGGTTATAGAACCACAGAAAAGCTTCTGGACTCTGTTCTTTCTCCCTCTCCTTTAAAGCTGCTGGATCTTCTCCCACATGGGCAGTCACCAGCTCAGGTTCCTGGGAGCCACTTCCCAGAGTCTCTGGGCTCCCACCTTCCAGAAGCACCTTCCCTGTGTTCGGCTCAGGTGCCAAGCCTGTGTTCTGTCTGCCAGGGATGGAACTGCTGCAGGCGTCCCAAGCATAGAGAGGCTGTGCCATGGCTTCCTGGGGCTATGGTAGCGGCTGAATTGTGCCCAAATTCCTTTGCTGAAGTTCAATCCATCGGTGCCTCAGAATGGAACTGGATTTAAAGTCTTCAAATGAGTTCAGTGAGCTCATATGCAGTTTTCTTTTTTTTTGGGGGGGGGGGGGGGTCGAGACAGGGTTTCTCTATGTATCCTTGGCTGTCCTGGACTCATTTTGTAGATGAGATGGGCATCAAACTCAGAGACCCGCCTGCCTCTGCCTCCCTGAGTGCTGGGATTAATGGCGTGTGCTGCCACCCTCAGCTCAATTTTCTTTTTTGTATAAGCACTAGGATGAAATTGTTCAGATATTACCAGCATGTAAAGGTCTGTCCCGCCTTTGTACATATTCTGCAGCTGTCCTAGCACACAATCTGCCGCAAAGAATTTTCTAGGACAGACTGCCCACAGTTCCAGAGTACACAGTGCCCACCATGTGGACAGGCCTGGTAGCAGGAGCATCTTGACGGCTAGTCAGGAAGCAGAGATGGGCAGGGAGAGGGAGAAGAGAGAAACAGGAAATAGGGTAACAGTAGGAAACAGGAAGTAGATAATTTCAAAGCCTGCCCCAAGTGGCATACTTCCTCCAGCAAAGTTCCCTTCTGAAGTAACCTTCCCACACTGGGCCACCAACTGGAGACCCAGTGTTACACACACAACGTGGGTGAGACATTCCTCACTCAGATCACGTCTTGTCTACATGGGGCTCAGAGCTATCCTGACTGGTGAGCTGACCTGTGGAGCACACAGTTAGAGGGCTTCTCTTTGGAGCAGGGAGAAAACTCTCTGGCAAGTCTGAGGTCCTTTTGTACTCGTGACTGACAAGCTGCAGACTGTGCTTTCCTGTAACTCCTCCAGCTCGCACAGCCCCTTCCCCTTCTCTATCTTTTCCTCATTGCTCCTCCTTTCACCTTCCTTTTCTCTTTCCATTTATTTTGGATGAATCAGACCTGTAGCACCAAGGAAGAGGGACATGCCTTCCTAAGGAATTACTCAAGTGCTTATCATCTGTGGCTTCTGTGGCTAGGTGATTTTGATAGCAAGCCAGCATACAAAGGTCTGTGGGGACCTCCTACCATCAGGATCCTTGGGTGTCTACAGCTCTCTCTGAGGCTATGATAACACAAGTGTGGGACTTCCAGCATGAGGGTCAGCTGTCATTCATTGCATGCTCAGGGTCCCTTGTCATGTCATTTTTTCCATGATTGAAAAATAACAAACAGGTTTTTTTTTTTTTTTATAACAACAGAACTGAATATGATTACCCTGTGATGATTCTATTCCCACTCCAGGAGCAAGCTCAAGGCTGAGCCTGTCTTGCAAATACCATGAGTGGAGTTAGCTCCTCAGACTCACTCACTCTATGAACAGAACAAATGTGAGGAGGCTCTGAGACCCAGAGCAAAATCAGTATAGCTCCCTGCTCTAGGAAACCCTCCTTGTCTGTCTGTATTGTCTGCCTTCCACTGTAAAGCCCATGGGGTCCTTATGTGCCCACTTCTTTTTACCACAACCTGCCTTGCTGGGAGTCTGGGCACCAGAAATGGGTAGGGTAATAGACTGTAGAGTAGATGTCTGGGTGTCCATGTTGGTAGTTTGTCATCTCTAGGAACTCCTGTCATCTGTCTCCAGGCATTGTCAAGGCACTAGTGTTTATTTTCTCCTCCCTGTGCGCCTGGTATTCTGGATACCTGCTTGCGGAGCTCATTCCTGATGTGCCCTTGTCCAGCACTCTCTACAACATCCGAAGCATTGGAGAGAGACCTGTCCTCAAAGGTGAGTACTGCAGCTAGGCTCCAGGAGCTGGACCAAGCTGGATGCAGAAGAGGGGAAGAGGAGAGGAAGAAGGACTCTGCAGATGTCCACTTACACAGGCTTCACAGCATCCTGAGGCACATGCCGCTGATCATGCCCACAACCAGTCTGGTCTCAGGCTGCACATCTATGGCCACCTACAGCCTCACTGAATGATCCTTTTGAGATCCATTCCAGCTTTCTTTCATGGAAAGCATGTAGGTCTTAGGCCTTAATTCCAGAATCTTTGTTTCCCTCCAAAGGACTATTTTCCTGGTCTTGACATGAGAAGTGGAAGTGACTGAGCAGGCATTAAAGAAATGGGGTGGAGATGGGGGGTCATAGAGAGATGTCTCAGCAGTTAAAGCACTTGACAGACAAGTGTGGGTCAGAGTTTGGGTCCACGGAAGCCATATAAATGCTGGGTGTGTGTAGCACCTGCCTGTAATTCAAGATTTGGAAGGCAGAGACGGGGTCTCTAGAGTAAGCTGGCCATGGAGACTAGCTGCTTTCCTAGGTTCAAAGTTTGAGTGAGTGCCTCTGTCACAGTGAATAAGGTGGAAGAATGATCGGGTAGGTGATTCCAGGCACTAGCCTCAGCCTTCTATACTACGTGTCGTATGCACCCAGACACGCTTGGGCTCCCACATGTACATGCCACTCACACAGACATGGTGGACTTCTAAGACAGTCTACTGGAGAACGGGGCAAGGCGCAGCTTCGGGTGAAGAGGCTGGAATGAGATCATCCGGGGAGAAGCCAAGAGCCAAGGAACAAATTTCAGTTGGGAAATAGGTCAGGGGATAGCAGAGTAATGTCTCAGTGCATCAAGAGGCATGGCCAAGGCCGGGAAGAAGTGCGCTTCTTCAAAGCATAGGAGACTAGTCTGTCAGGGGCCTGGGACAGAGTGCTAGAGCTGGGGAGCCTAAGGACAGAAACACAAGGCCACAGTGTGGAGGCACAGCTGACGTACAGGTAGGGGCAGATATGGCACCTGCTTTGTAGTTTATGGATGGCATCTGAGTCACGGTGCTCTCGATTTCTCAATATCTGTTTTATTTTACAACATCCATGCAGGAAGGAGTGCGTTTTCTTAGAAGGAAATGGGTTTTGCCAGTTTCTTTTTTCAGTTATTAATTCATTTTCATCTAGAGCTATACCACTCTGAATATACCTAGTCTTGTCTGGTCACAGAAGCTAAGCAGAATCAGGCCTTGGAAAGTACTTAGAGGAAAGATTAATTACATTTTTTAACTCCACCCCTCCCCCCCAAAAATAAAGGGACCTTACTTGGATTTGACTCTCACTGGGTGTTTTGGTTTTCAGTACAATTTTTGTATGGCTTTTGCCTGTGTCTCACCTACTTCCATATCCATGGTGTGGAGGAGCCTGGCACTGCCTGTCAGCGAAGGGCATGGAGGAACATAGAACTGTGTTGTCTCCTTCATTTTCTTCAGCTTTGATATGTGCTTTCAAGCCCAACCTTCAGATGTCACCTGGTAAGCCTGCCTTGACCAAGGGCTCCTTAGAAGAGTGGTTTCAGCTTTTGTCACCCTGTGGGGTGTACTGGAGACACTAGAAACCCAAATGTTATGTTTGTAGTCAAGATGGCTGTGTGTTGGTTTGTTCCTGATGCAGAGACTCCACTAGGAAGAGAGGCCTGACTATGTAGGAGAGAAATCATTCTAGTATTAGCACAGTTAGAGCTGGTGCGGGGAAAGCATGACCTGTGCTCAGGCCTAGCAGCGAGGTGCTCAGTGTTAGTGTTATGACATGCCAGGTGGATCAGAGTTCAAGGAATGGCCTCACCCTAAATGTAGGCACTGAAGCCCCTTCGAGGGCCCCTTCATCTTTCTCTTGTGCAGGCAGGAAGGACTGCCTGGCATTGCCAGAGGATCAGGCATGGAGTTGAGGCCCTGGACCTGCATGGATTCTGTAAGGCAGGTGACTCAGAGCCTCCATCTGTGGAAGTGGCCACTGGGAGTGACCTCCCCTAGAGGACTAGTACTGAACACTACAGAAACAACCCACTGAAGAGAAGGCCACAAAACCCCGAGTTCTGCATTCTGGCTTGAAATAAAAAGCATCCCTGGAAGTACCTGGTGAAGATCCCTTGTGTTTGACAGGACATGAACTTGGTATTCATTGACCAGCCTCCTGTTAAGCCTAGCCTAAGCCTGTATGACCACGTGCTAAACAGTCAGGAGAGCAGAAAGGTACTTCAGATAGACCTTGATGGATGAGTGTGAAGGGGTCCATAGGTGGGGAGAGCTGTTATGCAGAATGCAGAAGGCCTGCTGGGGTCTGCAGGACACAGAGAGCACATACCCATCACAAGTAACGCTTTCTGGAAGGCACCAGAGGTGTCTTTAAATGTTGGCCCCTCCTGCTTTTGATAGGTAGATTGGAACCATCTTGCTTTACAGACCTGACCAGAGGACCCAGGGGCTTCCCTTACTGAGATTTCTTTGAGCCTCAGCCAGCCTTAGCTTGTAGTTACCACCAGGAAATAGTCTGAAAACCACTTAGCAAGAGTGGGGCTCTGCCTGTATTCATTTAGTCCCCTGTTTCAGAATTTAAAAATAGTTATTTACTACAATTTGTTTTGCATTTAATTTAATTCAAAAGAATTGTTTTAAATGGTTACTAATTTGATTACCAAGCTTTCCAGTTACTCTCTAAATTTTGCATTTGAGGCCAGCACTCCACTGTCTCCTCCCAATCTAGCCCTGCTCCAGACCTCTGTGATATAATAAAACTGCTTATAGCATGAGAGAATAACCAGGAGTATTTCTGCACACACCTGCCTTAGATACAGGAGGCCATAGAGGTGCTCAGAGGTGATACTTTGGCAGTGAGAAGCAGTAAGCACCCTGCCTTTGTGCCGGAGGCTGGTTATAATGCAAAGATCACTGTGTGGGAAGGTGGGTGCAGGCACAGGTGGGAGGCAAGTAGACATTGCTCAGATGATAGCCAGGTGGCTTCAGGGCTTTGGCAAGCTGGATGCCATCACAGTGACGGTAAATGTGTAGGTGTTCTTCTGACTCCAGGCTATTAGAGCTAGAAGCTTGGGTTCTAGCAGTCACAAGAGCTAGGCTTGGCTGCCTCACCCCAACACATCAGTTAAGGAGACAATGCAAATGATTTAAAAAAGGCAAAGAGAATATTTATTCAACATGGTAGTTTCACAACATCAGTCTTATGATGGGGTTCTTGATTATTTGGAACCGAGTTTTGTGTAGGGTGAGAGGTGAGGGCCTAGTTTCATTTTTCGGCATCTTAAATACAAGTTCCCAGTACATTTTTTGAAGATACTGTCTTTTCTCTAATGTGTATTTTTGGTATCTTTGTAAAAGATCAGGTGGCTGTATAAGTGTGTACTAATAGCTAGGTCCTCAGTTCTAACACAGTTTCATTCATCCTATGCTGGTAGCATGCTGTTTTTAAGACCATGGTTCTAGCTGGGCGCAATGGTCAACTGCCAGCACTCAGTTAGGCAGAGGCAGGCAGATCTCTGTGAGTTTAAGGCCAGCCTGGTCTACAAAGTGAGTCTAGGACAGGCAAGGCCACCTCTCTCAAAACCATGTCTCAAAAAAAAAAAAAAAAAAGAAAGAAAGACTATGTTTCTGGGTATAACTTGAAATAAGGTGTGGTAATACCCCCTACCATATTCTTTTTGTTCACATTGCTTTCGCTATCCATTTTTGTTTTTGTTTTTGCCATATTATTTTATTAGTATGTGTATGTGCCCCTCCCCTCCTCTTCCCTCCTTTCTCTCTTCTCTCTTTCTCTCTCTCTCTGAATCAGGATGTAGCTCTCAGCTGCTGCCCCAGCATCTGTTTCCATGCCACCAAGCTCCCTGCCATGATTATAATGGACTAAATCTCTGAAACTGTGAGCAAGCCCCAGTTAAATGCTTTCTTTTATAATAGTTGCCTTGTTCATGGTGTCTCTTCACAGCAATAAATGAGTATCTAAGAGGGAAGTTTTAATGCCATTTCCAGACAAGCATGGTGTAGGCAGTCATAGTCTCAGGGGAACTGTATGTATCTAGGCCTTCCAGGTAGGGCAGCAGTGTTGGGCTGCAGGGAGGCAGCTCCAGACTGAGTGGTCTTCCTGTGCTTTCTGTCTCCTTCGTCTGGGCAGCACCACTAACCCTGAATACTGGGGGACCACAGAGACACTCACTTAGTCCTGCTTCCCAGGCCACCTTCCTTTGTTGCCTCATCAGGGTGTCTGTGCTCCTGTCTAGGACTCCTGGCTGTGGCTGTAGCTGCTAAAGCTCCTCACCCCATCTCTTTCATGTTCTTCTGACCTTAGACAAGAGTTTAACAAAGGCCACAGTGGCACTGCCTATGGACAGCTACCCAATCCCATCCTCTTTGTTTGTCCTAATCGCTCAGTGTACAGAGAACATTGTTTCCTGACCACCACTGCAGTCGGAGGTACAGTTCGCATTCACCATTGCTGACATGTAACAGAGCACTTTGGGAGCCCAGCTCTGGCTGCACAGTCTCATGGAAGCAGTGACATGATGGCCGTGGTAGGAAAGTTGTTGCTACGTAAGCAGGAAGCCCTGCTGTTGGTGTCTCTGCCGTACACTGAAAGAATCTCATCACCAGTTTTCCAGTGACTTTCTAGAATGCCTCCTAAATGCTAGAGTTATTACCCTCATTACTAAGGTGAAGGAAGCCGGAGCACACAAATCAGGGGCTTTTTCTGAAAGACAGATTCTTGGATCCCACACCAGGAAGTTAAAAAGTCCGTGGGTCTAGGGTTGAGTACAAGAACCTACGTTTATTGTGATTAACTTGGCCTCAGAGAGGACGTGTGGGATGAAAAGAAAAATTTCATGGGCTTATTTGGAGTCCTGGAGACAGCATTGTCTTTTGAGAGGCAGGCTGGAGTCCTCCCCATGCCAGCTCCCTGCCTCTGGCTCTGGTAAGAGATGCAGTGTTAATGTGGGCCAGGGCCTTAGCCTC